GGTCTTCGACTTCTCACTGACTACGAAGAGTTAGGCCCTGAAACTTGGAGGTCATATCAGGTAAAGCATAAGTACATACCTCCCTGAGCCGCAAGATGATACTCGTTGTGGTGGCTGTGCACGAGTCGAAAAACCGGATATGCCTAAGAATATGTGGAGGGGTGTATATCTCCTTATTACTTATCATGGTATGAATTACTTTGCAGTTGCATTCGCGAGCGTTACAGGCGAGCGAGAAAATAGATGCGCTCGACGGAGCGAGGTGAATTGCCATGAATCGCCTTGCGAAGACTTGTAAGCGCTCGCCTTGATGATCGATTTCAGCCGTTGGGGCTTTTACGCACAACAGCCGATTCTGAGCATCACTACGATACTCTATCTATGCGGAGAGCTATTCTTAATGCAGATTGAGCTTTTTTATAAACGAAACGTGCGTAGAGATCAGTAAATAGCCATTTTTGTTAGATTTCCTGGAAATTCAAGGGTCGTGGAAATTTTTCCGAAATTTCCTTCGGAAATTTCAGGAATGGAAATTGACACTTCCAGAAATCACACCCTGGTCTAGGGCTCAACCAACAATCCGAACTATAGGGTGCATCATTGAGATGATCAACCACTTGAACCAGCGCGTCGAACCACGATCTGGTGCCAGCGATATTGGGGTCCAACAGACAGGCCTTCAAGCACCGGCTTAACTCCCTGTGGGAGCGCTCCCAATAGGCAAGGTTAGGAGCATATACAGGACATGCCAGTTGCAAAATAGATCTGTCACGACACCACCGAGCAGTGTGGGTTGAGACAAATGTCTTTGCATTATCAGTGATGAGGACTGTGGGACGATAAGCATTGGCATAGAGTAGGTCCAATGCAGAGCATACAGTCGACGACGAGACATTACCATAGAGAGGTTGGACCCTTAGAAAGCCAGACGCTAAATCCGTGATAACAAGAGTAGCGACAATGCGATCCGAAGTCGCATCGTCAACCTTCGTATAAGGTAAGTATATATCACATGCTTGGACTTGCCCAGGGCGTAAATCCGCTACGTGATGGAGACCTGCACTCGAGTTGAACCGGCGGATAGCATTGCTCTTCAAGCATGGAATACAGCACTTGAGAGCTCTGGCTACTGTGCGGCGTTGCCTAGGCCAATAGAAATGGTCTGATAGGCGGTGAGCAAGCTTTTGAGGTCCGAGATGATGAGACTCCAGATGATGTGTGATGATGATCTTGTCGATGAGGGCACGAGCATGACTAGAAATTACTCTTTGACGTACCAAAGTTGCATCTGGTCGCTGTCGAACAATTCTGTAGAGCCTACCATCCCCATCCAACTCGAAGTTAGTAGCCTGTCGTTTGAGTCTGGCCGGAGTTATACCTTGTGCGATCGAACCATCTAGAAGGTATGAGCGGATCGCACCATAGTAGCCATCCTGCACGACCGAATCGTCGATAGACTTATCAATAGTCTCCCTATCTGACTCTGTCAGAGTAGGAGGGTGCATGTTGTCCTGTAATGGGGGCGGCAATGGCCCAGCCTGAGGAGTTGTCACACACAAGACGGCGTCGCACTCGATGCCAGTGAAGGCCATATACTCGTCGTTCTGGTTGTAGAAATGCCTCTCCTTTGGAGAATAATACGGACGCTGATTCGGGGATGCCAGAGCTACTTCTAGGAGCTGTAGCTCGATCGCCCCCCTAGAAGGCATTCTCCCTCGTGAGCCGTCATCGGCTAGGTTGAGGGCAGATGGGAGATGTAGCACGCAGACCTCGATGGGACAGTCCATAAGTTGCTGCCTGATTCTCATTAACTTGCCTAGATCTGCCCTCGAATAGTTACACCTTCCCTTCTTGCCTATGTCGGCGAGGAGCTCGACCTCAGATTTATCTCTCATACGGCAGAGTCTTTGTATGTTGATCAGGCTGTCAGACATAATAACGGCCGATACTCTAGATGCAGATGATAGTTTCAGAGTCGAGCATAGACGGAGTAGCTCTCTGACGGCTTGGAAGAGACTGTGAAGCTCCAGCCTCGGCACCGTTGAAGTGGGAACTGAGGTCGTTTTCCCCTCAGAGTTGACCGATCTCCTGTGTGGAAAAAGCCCAGCTCTGGCGCACAGCCGAGGGCTTATTGGGAGCCCTGTTAGTTTGGTCCGCACCTCCACACACCACCCTATGTTGGACGCATCACAAGACACCAATATTTGACATGAACCATTCTCATTGACCATCGGACTCGGCTTCACCGGTATAAACCGGGGCGTGGGCGGTAGGGTTGAAGCCAGCTCCGTCCAACGATTGACATCAAGTATCAACGCCTTGGGTACCGGATTCTCCCACGTTAATGATGGCGATATGTTGTCGTCTTTCACAGCTTCCACGACCGCCCTCCAAAGAACCCTGGCCTTCATGCTGCACTCGATGTATCTCCCTAGCGGGTCGTATAGGGATGCGAGTGTATGACTCACCATGCGCTTAGTCACCAAAGACGAGT